CACCAGTTTTGAGCTTTGATTGTTTATTAGTAATTTAGTTGATACGCAAGCTTATGTTGAAACTAGAATGTCGATCAATCTAAGCATACCCTTCATATAATTAAGAAAAAAAATGAGTGAGGCATATATTGATATTTCTGTGTTTGAGAGTTTGTTATTTTAAGGCCAAGTTGATATTTGAGGCATAAAGTCTTACAGTTGTTAGAATTCGACCCAGTTGAGTTGGAAATTTTAAAACTCTTCTTATTTGAAACCATTTCCCATGTTCGTGTCTTATTTTCTTTTTGCTCGGGATGAACAAAGGTTTAAGTGTGGAGGAGTTGTTTGTCCTATTTTTGCTGTATTTTTCGTGTTTGTTTTGTCTTTCTTTTTCTCCTGTTTTAGGTCTTTTATTTGGTTTTTAGTCCATGTAGTGTTTTGTTGCGTGTTTTTCTTTATTTTGAGTTTTTATGTGTTTTCATTCATGTGTCTTTGTTTTCTTCGGGTTCTAATCATTTTTGGTGTACAAGTTGGGAGCTTCAGGAGGATTTATTTTCAAATCCAAATTGACCGTGTGCGCATAATTAAATAAAAGGGTTCGTTGGTGATGAGTACGAAAAAACGAAACTCAATTCGAGTTCGGATGAGTTCAAACGAGCTCGAGATGCCAAGTCATGCAAGTAGGCACCAGCTCCCAAGCGCCACGCCGCGGCAGTCAGTCCTCGCGCCGCGGTCGCGCCGCGGCACTGCACGCCCCTCATGCCGCGCCATGCCCCAGTAGAGAGTGCGCGCAGGACACCTGCCGTCGCGCAGCACCCCTCGCGCCGCGGACCCCTGCGCGCGGTCAGAATTTTTTTTTCGTTTTTTTCGTTTTTGCTCGGCTTTTTTAGCCCCATATATTGGGACTTGTTCCTAGACCTTAGAATCAATCTCCAAACTCGTTTATTCCAGATTTCCACCCTATAACACCATCTTTCATCTTTGCTTTTGACTTGAATTTCCTCTTTATTTTCTCGGATTAATCTTGTATCTCGGATTCGACTCTCAATCTCGTTTTAATCGTAAGTTTTCTCTTCATTGCATTGATGAATATGATTGCTTGGGTTAATTTGATTGATTGTGTTAAATCCAATATGAGTAGCTAATTCTATTTGCTAGGGATAGGGGATGATGTTTTGAATTTGATTATGATTATCGTGCTTGATGATTATTCAATTTACGCCAATTGATTTTAATTAGGGTTTTCAATTATCATGCTTGAATGTTGAATATTGTTGAAGAGTGACACTTCAATTTACAAATGATTCGTAATTGAATGTGATTCATTCTCGTGTGATGTTTTCAATTCTAAAAGATTAGTCGGTTAACCACCATCTAGTCTAATTTAATCGACTCTTAGAACCGAAAGGGGAGGAGTTTGTATCGATCTAGGCTCGTATAAAATAGGTTTATTCGTAACTGTATTGCCTATGTGTTAAACGACTCATTAATTTTTCTTTCATGTTTATTCTCTTGTTACGAAAAGTTATTGAAGATGAATATCTGAATGAGTAGGTTATTAGAATTCTTTAACCGAATGATCACTTACCCGTTAATTGCATTTCGAACAAAAAAAAATATCCCCGACTCCCTAGCTTCCTTATCATTGCTGATTCATCATCTTCGCTTGGAATTTAAGTTTGCGTTGTTTAAGTTTTCTTAGTTGATAATTGAAACAAAACCAGCCTTCTGAATTAGAATGTTTAGGGGGTGATTGTTTATGGATTCAACTAGTTTTTATTTGGTTTGTTTTTTAACTATAGTTAATTTTGAAAAAATGTGGTGTGGTTAGTTGTTAGTAGATATATTAAAATAATATTTAAATAAAATAATTAAAGTTGATTTGATGTAAAGTAAGAGAAAAATGATTGGAAGTGATGGTTAGTTAAAATTATATGAGTGTGTGAATAGCGAATTAAAGTTGATGTGATGTGTAAGAATGATTGGTTGATATTATTTAATTATATTGATAATATTGAAGATAGTGGAGTTGTGTTAAAGTTAAGTTAAATTTTAGTTTTGATTGAATTTTTTTTAGATGACGTCATAAACAATCACCCCTGAATAATCGTGCATTATAATTCGGCTAACCTTCCTCGATCGACCCGGGGAATAAATCCTTCGATTCGGTACTCGGCAAAATAAAATAATTTGCTACAACAGTCGTCATTCCGAGTTTGGTTCGAGGCTTGGGTTTGGCTTCGGTTAGCGGTTTTCGGCAGCTTCAGAAGCAGTTTCATAGGCCGAGGATCTCTCTTTGGGGTTGATTTTTGTCTACGGGAGCGGATTAGTTGATCTACCGAGGACGGGCTCGTTTTTTTAGCTAGTTTTATCTTTTTCTGTGTTTCTGTTTTTTGGTTGTTTGTGTTGGGATCTGTGAGGATCTCGTTATGTACAAATCACGAATTCAATAGAGAACGTAAACCCATGCGCAACGGATCTAAAGGTTTGACGTAGAGAACTTACGACTTAAAATTTATGGTGATCTGGCTGATCTTCCGGATTGGATTACACGAACAGGAAACGGGTCACGTGCGATCAGTCGGGTCGTGTCACGGTTTGGGCAGCCGATCGGGTTGCGCTTATCGCCGTGCGTCGCGGCTTCTAGGGACGGTCGTCAGCGTCTCACGACGGCTCCAGGTGGCTGGTCGGCGGACGAGCTGGGGTTGACGGGTCGCGGCCTTCCGGTCGTGATTCGTCAACTGCAAGTAGATGATCACCGGGTCTCGATTACCTATGGATCTTTTACTGTATTTCTCAAACACCCTTTTTTCAACTTGTACCAGTGGAGCAACAAGAAGAAGACAAAGCTCGAATGAGAACTGAGAGAAAGATAGAGGGGCGCGGGTCGTGTCGTGTATTATGACAGATTCCTTCTCTTCTCATGAGCTTAATGATGTATATATAGAGCTACAGTAGGGACCCTTAGGAGATTAAGAATATGGCTCCTTAATTAAATAGACTAACTGTGTGCCAAACTCACTCCTCTAATTAATTAAATAATATTATGGGTCACCAACATAATATTATTGCACTCCCTTTTCCTAGCCCAAATTATATTTGAGACTCCAATTATAATTACTCGATTTACCTCCCCACGTTTAAGTTATAATGTCCATTAATTAATTCGATTATGTCAATCAAAAATTGATTAATTTTTTATTATTTCACTGAAGCTAGTGCTCATTCATCACATTCATATTATGCCGGAATTTAATCCACCTGCAGAGTTTTGCATAACAATCTTTCATGAACTCACTTCGGGAACATCATCAGACTAACACACATGGTGACCGTAAATATCCTAACAACACATACTATATATAGCAATATTATCCAAAACAGTAGGAATATTGATCCAGCTAATTGAACCTCACCCGACTAAATCAAAGTAATATGTACTACATATATCTGTCTGCTTAATATCTTACGGGTTAAGAGAACGCAGTAATTAACTGAGGCCTTGTTCATTTACGACGATCAGAATAAAATGAACTTCTTCTCTCTGGGATCCTGTTCAATACATAAATGTACTAGTGCAACTAATTAGTCAAGACAAACTGTACAATTGACAGTTCGGATGGGGTGTTCATGTCCATCTAGGTTGTGAACAACTATTCTTGTTCGCAAGTAACTGATAGAGTGATCTTCGGTTCGCCCGATGATGACCCACTCTATCTAAGTGCAGAACAGTAGAACGTAGAACTTGTTTAATCTAACATGATTCTCATTCATAAAGGGCAAATGTGTAATAACATGCAAAGTCAAGATTTCAGTATATAACACTAGCAGTTTGTTTAGGATTCGTGTTTTTGGTTTGGTTCGTTGACCTCTGTGGTGCCCGAGTGTGAGTGGGTATTATCCTTTTGGGATCGTTCATTCTCCATTATTGGAGCTTATTAGTGTTTTTTTTAGTTTGTGTGGTAGTGTTGTTCTAGCGTCGCTAGCTTAGTCTTTAGGCGATTTCCGGATCTGTCCTCCTAGTTTTTAACTCTCAGTTGTATCATTCAGCTTTGGTTTGCTTTCCATTTGCACATTTGTGCGAATTATAAAATCTCTATCGTTTTGAACAAAAAAAAAGTTAGAATTTATGTAATTATGAATGATATAATATAAAAAAAAATTACAATTTATGTAATCTCTATCGTTTGGAAATCCCGGAACCTATGGGTGTTTCAAAACTCACTAATGCCAGAGCATTTTGTCATTAAAACAGCTCTTAAGGAATGACTGGAATTCACATCAGCAGTTTGATGGTCTAATGGCTCGTCTAACTTCTGCTCCTGCTTTGAGTGCTGTTTGAGTTTGTTGTGTTTTCTATTTCTTGTGTAGTTAGCAGTTTGAGTGTTTTCTTTTTCTTTTGAATCTCTATCTCTTGCTGGGCTTACGCAGTGGACAGAAGCAGAGATTCTTTCTTTTCAGTGTTAGTTTGTTTAGAGTTAGTGAGGTTCTATGTACTGTCAAAGTACCTTCACTTTGCATTTTTAGTTTCTCCTAGTCGATCGGTTTGTACCCTTTGTATTAGAACATTGTTCTCGTTGTGATATATAATATCATCTCTATCATTCCGAAAAAAAAAAGAAAAGAATGATATAATATAAGAGAACACATGGAAAATAATTATTATTAGTATTTTTTTTTTGTGATACTTTATAAATGTTACGTTTGTGCCCCTTCTGAATCCTCCCTGATTATGATAAGTGGCCTAATCCCGTTTTATCACTCCAAACAATAGGTCAGTCCGAGTCCTTGCTGCGCGGGTTTGAAAAGCAACATGTTGAACAGGAATCTATATATATATATAGAAGTGCGCTCAAATGAGAAAGGATATCAATGAAAGAAATGAGAAATAATTTAAACCGTTGGATACGCGGTTTCAACGCCCAAGATCTGTCCAATAATTAAAATTCGCACTGGCATTACAGTAATATTAGTGATGTCTACGGTAAATTCATAAAGGCTAATGTCATTTATGTATTTTCCTAGGAGTGGGCCCCACCACTAACTATTCTTCTACCCCAATTCCCCATCCCAACCCATCACACACACATATCACCATTAGAGCACCCACAATGCTTTGGGTCTCTTAACAAAAAATCACATGCCATGTAAGAAATAGACTTAGTCTATAAAAAAGTGTTTCACAATGCAATTAAAAGTGGACCTAGTCTAGCTTATGTGGCAATGAAAAAAGAGACCAAGTCCACTCTTGGGTCTATTTTGGACCCAAATGTGAACCTTACAATAGTAATTATTTACTATTATTATATTTTTATTGGTTGTTAGGTATTCTAAACCTAGTAAGTATGAACCTTACAATAGTAATCATTTGCTATTATTATTTTTTTTATTGGTTGTTAGGTATTCTAGACTTAGTACTTTTTTTTTGCATTGGATAGATTTTGAATTTTTTAGCTTGGGTTTGTACATGTCATTATAGACTTAAGTCTATTTATTTCCCACATATGCAAAAAGAGACCTAAAGCATTGTGGGTGCTCTTAACACATAGTTCTTCAGACCAACTATTCTTCATCCGACCAAACCGCCGCTGCACGCCACCGCCAATCGCCGCCGCTGGTAGCCTCCTTTTGGTCAATTCCGTCATTCTCCCTCTCCCTCTATGTCTCATTTTCCACCACTCTTACAAAATCCCGAACCGCCGATCAAAAGCTTCTCCGCCATTTTCATCGATCCGCCGGCTGACGTCGCCGGCGTCCGACTGTGTCATGCCAATGTCGTCGCCATCATGTTCATTTCGATCTCCTTCGCCGTATTGAATTAACTTCCCTGTCAATAAAAATCGAGACCCAAATTATAATCCACAAAGTTTAATTTCAATAATCAATTTGAATATGATTTTCAATTTTGAGGTTGCCATTTTCGGTATCGACTGACAGTGAATAACTAGTGTCCGACGGTCGATTGCAAAGGCACCAACGCCGATTCGGGTGAAGAGTGAGGAAGTGCTGTGGGAATAAATTTGGGGCTTAAGTTTGGAAATTAGATGAGTCATAGGACCCTCTTTGCAAATTAAGAAAAATAGTTTTATTCTAATTTAGTTCATTTGTTAAATGTGTAATTTTTTAAAATTTAGGATTACACAATATTTTTGCCAATATTAATAAATGAACTAAATTTAATGAACTTTGGTGACGAATCAAAATAAAACGGAATTGAAATATATATTAAATTAGTAATAATTATTAATAATATTTTTTTTACATTGTTCGGTCGGTACGGTATTATGGGTTTTTCAAAAAATAAAGTCGATGTTGTATCGAAACATTCGGCATCTTAAAAATAAAAAATGGTAATTGTGTTGAAATATCAAATAAAAAAAATTACTTTTGGTCGGTTTGTTTGTTGTGCAGTCCGACAATCATTAATGTGCAATTCTTCTTATACTATTGTGCACTGTTTATGTTGTTATTGTGCATTCCGAACCGAAAGATATTTTGTCTCAAACCAAATTGAAACCGAACCGAATTACTTGATTTGTTATGTCAGTTAACCGAATTACCCTAATTAAACTAAAATATTATTTAAATTAAAAATACATTTATTATTTTAATAATTTAATTTAATATTTTTATATTATTATTGATTGTAAAACATAATATACAAAATGACCAAATAGATAATGTACACTATCATATAAACAAATGTGCATTTAGTATAACATTATTGTATAGTCTATTAAGCGATTAGTTTCTTTTTATCATTTTTTTTTATGCATTTCAATGTTAGAAAACTTTAATATGTATTTATTAATTAACGTTATTGTTCATTTATCAAATGATTTGAATAATAATAAATATAATTATCATTTATATAATATTTTACATTATTTTTTATTGAAAATAAAATAATATTTGTATATTTAAAATATAAATAATAATTTTTTATATAGTGTGATCGGTTTTGTTATTTTATTTATTTATTTATTTATTTTGTAAATAAGGTGGATATCATAACGAAATAACCTAAAGTAAAACAATGCACATCGTTATGCTAATTTACATCTCGAATGATTTAATGTGCATTTAGTCTAACGTTATAGTGCATTCTGACCGTCACTTACGTGCATAATGTTTATAACTATTGTGGACTCAGTCAAGATCCTTTTATGTGCAAATCTAAAATAAAATTGAACTAACAATAATTGGTATTATTCGTTTGATTAATCAAGTTAACTTAAATAATTAAAATAACTAAAATAAAACCAGAATAATATGTTTATTGGGTCTGTTAATCGAATCAATCATAATAACCGAAATAAAAATATTATTTTTATTATAAAAAAACACATTTAGTATTTTAATTTTTTTTTGAAAAGTAATTATATACCTACATAAAAAATATAAAAAGCATTTTTTTTTTTTATTTTGTTCGATTTGGTTATTTCGAGTTCGGTCAAAATTTTCAATTTGTATATCACTATAGTATAATTTGTAGAGAGGATATTTGTAATGTGCATATACACATGTTTGTTGTGCATTTTAATTAACACTATTGTGCATGCATTAAATTTATTGTAAATTATAAATTAAACCCTTAAACCAAAGTGTAATATATTGAAATTATTAAATTGCAATTAAGTCCTTAGAGTATATCAAATTTTCAAAACAAAAGCCCCACAAATCCAATCATTGTTCAAATTCGTCCCTATCAAATCTCAACCACTCGGCGGCTCCCACAGACGGCGGCGACACTGCCATAGTCCCGGCCGACGATCGCGACTGACAAAGAGCTCACCCAGACGCCGTCGGTTCCAGTTGCTCAGAGAGTAAGGTGGCGGCCGCGGCCGACTCGATGCGGTGTGAACAGAGACGAACGCCGGGAGAGAGTAACCGACGGTAACATAGGAGATTGCCCTCGAATTTCTATGGCTCGGTTCAGGCGGAGCTGTCGGCGAGACTTGTCGGAAGTGGCTGGCGGCGGTAGGTGCGGCTGCACGTTGGTGTCGGAGGCGGCGGAAGGGCTGTTGTAAGTGGACGACGCCTGGCAGAGGTGCGTGTGTTGAGGTGGCGTCGTCGGCGGCGGAGGAATGGCTGGGAGAAGTGAACGTCGGCAGACAGATGGATGTGTGTGGAGGTGCGGCAACGGTATGTCGTCGTCGGTGACGGAATGGCTGGGAGAAGTGCACGTCGACAGGAAGACGGGCTTTTGTGGAGGTACCACGACACGGCGGCGCGGCGGCTGCGACCGGATGACTGGTGGAAGAGGGAACGGCGGGGGAAATCTTGTGTGGGTTTATGTGTGTGTGTGTGAGAGAGAGAGAGATAGAGAGACAAGAAGAGAGAGTGATTCAAATTTTTTAATGGTGGTGGGGCCCGTGTGAGTTGAATGTGTGAAGTAATTAGTCCATTGTTTATTCGTTCAAACTAGTACAGAGCCCGTGCGATGCACGGGGTGCACAATTTTAAGGCTATTTATCCAGGCTTATAATTATATACATGAATAAAGAAAAATGTACGGGATATATATATAGTACGTGACCCGTGCAAAGCACGAGATATATTTATTTGGAGAATATTATATTATAAGATGCAATATGCAATAAAAGTTTATAATACACAAGAAAATTGTACAATGTTCAATAAAAGTTTTATAATATTCAAGTGGAGTCTTAAAGTCTCTTGTACATTAAGACTACTGACAAAATAATATTTTAGATCAATGAGTTTCCTTTCCTTGTAGCCAAATTGTGAATGTGATTTGAGGAGTTTAACAAATCGATATATAGCTGACTTGCTTTTTCATTGTAGTTTTTTTCTTTTTTTTTTTTATAATGAATTTAAAGATATTCTAAAATATAGCAAAAATTAATTTTTTTTTTACAATTAGAAATTTTACTAAATATAAACTCTCAATCTATGGTGTTAATCAACGTTTAAGTCTAAAAAATTAGGAATTTTTACCTCTTTTAATCAACGTTTAAGTCTAAAAAACAATAGAGTTATTATAAGTTTTTTTTCTACATCTTTTAAAACATTAAATATGAGCATGTTAGGGCTAGCTTGTAAAATAATTAATATATTATCTCACTAAAACATTTATACTAATAAAAATTTAATTTTAGCATATAAATTTATCCCTTGATATAAGAGAAAGTAACAGTTTTACTTATTGTTGTTCACCATATAATATTTAATTATTATTTTATTATATAATAAAAAAAGAAATATTGTTAAATAGTGTAGTAGAATTATTATAAAATTATATGATTTTTTTTTTTACAATATGGATTTAATATTTTTTTTATGATTTGATAATATAAACAAATCTATACTTAACTTTGACAAATAAAACAAATAAATACTTTAGTAAGTATTTAATGTATATATACTAAATAGGAATATATTTTGTATAATCAAATACCAAATATAATCAAATAAGTCAAAGTGTACATTTTTATTTGACATTTGATTTTATTTTATTATTAAAATCTTTTTGTTATACTTACCTTTTTTAAAATAAAATAAATAAATAAATCAATTAAATAAATAAAATATTATAATACCAAAATAGTAATTACATTTAATACAGTTGACTTTTCTGGATAGTAAATATAGGAAATAGAATCTTCTTTTATATAAGTATAGATTGTATAATACGGAAATGGTAATGCAATAAATGTTGTTGACTTTTCTTTATACTAAATCTGGTAATGGTATACCTTTTAATATAAGTATAGATTACCACATTGCCTTAATGAAAGTATATTTTTGGCTTTTTATTAATTGTTGGATCATCTAATCTACCGGCTACGATGTATTCTTATTTCTTTCACTGACCACTTTTGTCACCGGAGCGCATCCCTATATAAATAAGAATACATAATAGCCATTAGATCGGCTGATCTAATGGCTGAAAAGAAAGAATAAAAGCCAATATATTTACATTCATTAAGAGTATTGTGGACATTTTATCCCATAAGCGGGCCCCACACTCGCCAACTCATCCAATCCCAAACACGGGTCTGATTGGTTCGAATAAAAACTCTTTTTGGGTTCTTAGTTTCATTTGTTATTGCAATGTTTTTCTTTTTTATATCAGTAACCTCACCACGCTTTCGTAGTTTGGCATTACTTGTCATAAATTCTTTAGATGCAAAGCTATAAGCTTTCTGCACTATTGTTATATAAACTGGTACTTCATTCAAGTGTAACAGTATATAATTCAATTCCTGGACAAATGGTCTGTATAATTTTAAGAAATTATTACCTATTAAAAGGTCTACTCCTGTATCGTGTTGGTATATGCTAGGAACTTATAAGCCACTTTTTCTAAAGTAATTACTTGTTTATTTGCAACCTATACAGTTATTTTTTGTTTAGCATTTACCCATTTTTCAATGGGTAATACCAAAGGATGTGCAGCACAAATACTTGCTCCTGTATCTATGTATCCATGAAGATGATATAGTTTATATCCAGTGAATTTAAAACCCACCTTGATATAGGTACTATTAGGGTTAGTTATATTTAACATTTGTTCCATTCTTCAGAACTATCATCAGTGCAACTTTCCCATTCAGAGCTTGGTTTGGAATAGAATTATTCATATTCTATTTCAAATTTTAAATGATATTTTGAATCATTAGGCTCATTCGCAGATTCAATTGGTTCAAAGTTGAATTTTTGCATTGCATAAAGCATTTTAGCTTTATTCTTACTTTTTTTCTTTTAGGACATTCATTTGCATAATGACCTTCTTCTTGACATAACCAACATTTGCAGTTAGTTTTTCCCTTTGGGCAATATTTTTCTTTTCTTTCAATTTTTCTTCTATATCTAGGTTTTTATTTTATAATTCTCTTTTTTGTATTTCCTATATTTAGGAATGTACCTTTTGTAATTTTTAAACTTTTGGTATTTTGATTTTCGAGAATGCCTTTCTTTTCTAGTTTTACATCCCCATTTATTATGTATCTCTAATAACTGAGGATCATAACATGGTTTATTTTGATAATATACAAGAGTCCCTCTTAATTGAGTATCTTTACATCTATCTTCTATGGTTTCTTTAAGAAGATTTACTCTCCCTGCAAAACCTTCTGTAATATGATCAGGTTTATTAGACCATTTTTTGTTCATTTCAAAAGCCCACAATGGTGGCAACTTATTGAAGTATTTTTTAGCATATGCTGGTCTATCTTCTTGTTTTAACAAGTAATACCATTTTTCATATTCACACGTAAAGTTTTTCCAATAACAAATATCACATATTTGAATATTGTCAAGTATGAACTTTGCTTTTTTCTGTCTTTCTTCTAACACTACACTTGTGTTATCTAATTCTCTGACTCCTACGAATTCATTAACGAGTAGTTTAGCCAAAGCATTTAGATATTCTATGTTATCTTCTGGTTTATTCCAAAGAGCATCAAGGCTTGGAACGTATGAATTTGAATCCCACCAGTTTCTAACATTTCCCTTTCATATGAAATTCTAAATATGTTTTTAATGTTCTTAGATCTTCAAACGCTTCTCTATTAGTTTGTATTAGGGGTGAGCATGGGTCGGTACGGTTCGGAGACTGATAAATCTCCAGAACCGTACCATCAATCTCCGAACCGTACCGAAGTTCGGAGATCAGTAAAATTCGATCTCCAGAAATGTACCAAAAAATCGGTTCGGTCCGGTTCAGAGATTTTTATTTTTCAGTTCGGTTGGTTCGGTTTTCGAGACAATCGGAACAGTTCGGTTCGGTTTGGTTCGGGTCGGATATTCAGAGATTTCTTATCATTTTTTTAAAAAAATTTGAATGACCACGTAGTTATGTTTTATTTTTTATATTTTCGTTTTTAAAAAAATTCACCATTCATCAATACTTCATCATACTAAAGATTTTATTTTTAAATCAACTTTAGAAGTAATCCTAAATTTTAGTTAAGACTAAATTCAACTAACATTGAAAATTTGAAATTAAAAAAATATAATAAAGTTTTATATTAAAGTAATATTTATTTAACCTTCCATACTATGTTAGTTATAAATTAATCTAACGCTAAGTATCGACAACTCTAAGTAAAGCTTAAGTATTTCTTTTTTTAAATCTTTAACCTTTCATTCCATTTTAATTTTTTTTAAGTAGGAGAAATTCAATTGTAGATCAAGTATTATTAAACATGAAATGTAGGTGAATTTGAATTGTTATTACTATATTTTATTTGTATTTTAAAAATTTTCAAATTGTATAGGATCAAAGTTGACATAAAATATATTAATAACACCAAGGAGGAATATTATTTGATCTATTCATTTTTCAAAGAATATAATAATTTTACTAATTAGTTTTCTTAAGATTTACGATTGCAACTGCCTAGTACATTTCATTTCTAGTATTTAATTATCTTATATACCAATAAGGGCATAAAGTCTCTTTCTAGTGTTGAGAAAAGGTCATAACTCATTTCCTCGGCGATTCGTTCTTCTTCGGTAGTCGGTAGTCAGAGACATGGGATACCTCTTAAACAGCTGCAATCTATCTGCCAATCGAGATCCAAATCGAAATCCAAATCCTCCCTCCTAAACATCTGCACTCTTTCAGCCAAATCCAAAACCAAATTCAAATCCAAATCGAAATCCAAATGTTCAGACAGTACAAAAGCTCTTGCCAACGCCGAATCGAAATTGATGAAATCCGCTAATGCTCAACCCAAGGGCAATATGTTCCTGGTGAGGCAGTTACGCTACGGAACCCTCGATTACTGTGTAGTCTCAAACGAAGGCAAGTCTTCCAGACTATTAGACGAGGATGATGATGATCTTCCTCGCAACTTATTGACTCTCCTCAGAATAAAAAACAGTATCCGTTGGACTTCTCACCCCTATGACGTTCTTGGATGTTGCGACTCATGGATTTTCTTGCTATTTCAGAAAATTGATTTCAGGCCATCACAGTATCTTGTGTGGGACATGGAGACGGATTCGTGTAGATACCGTTTTCCATGCTCTTCCCCGGAAAGAGAGGATGATGACATATGGGCTTATGGCTTCGGGTTTGATCCTTCATCCGGACACTATAAGCTGGTCGTATGTTATGAGGACTACGCTGAGGTGTTGTCCCTCGGAACTTGTTCGTGGAAGGCCATTCATTATCCTTGTGACTCTTCCGTAAGACCCGGTATATACCCCTCTATTCACATTAATGGCTTCTACTATTGGATAGCTAGGGATTTTGAGTCGTTTGACGATGGTTCTTATGCAATTATGTCGATGGACTTTGCTAAAGATAGGTTTTGTGCTCTTATCCCTCTGGCCAAGAGGGAAAAGTTGAACATCAACGGCGATTTGGGTGTTGTTCTAGTCGAGTTTCAGGGGTCTCTGGCGGCTATTTGTTGCGATTCGGAGGACAATCCTTTTATTTTCGAGATTTGGGGTTGGAATGCGCGAGGCAGATTCTGGTCTCTCGTCTCCACATTCGATATCCCTGAAGCTGCTGATCCTAGAGCGGTGCTCAACCTCTACAACAATGATAAATTGTTTCTTGAGGACTCCAAATGTGCTTGCTGCTTTACGATCATGCTACCAGACAGCTGGAGAATCTCGGGCTCCCTATTGATAGAAGAGGATTTTCGCAGTTTTTTCCCTTATGTCAAGAGCTCTGTTGGTCCTAGCTCCAGCGATTAATCTGCAGCAATTTTAGTTAGAGCTCATACGATTAATCTGGAAGGTGGTTGGGTGCCCAAACTTGGTTGCATAGCACCAACATTTCAAATTGCAGCAGACACCAATCCAATTTGGGTTCATGAACTTCTTGATGCCTCTGGTAGAAGATGGAACACAGAAATGGTCAAACATCTCTTTTCAGAACAGGAGAGTGAAGCAATCCTTGACATTGACACCATTGAACCAGACAGGGAAGGTATTTGGAGATGGGCCTTAAACAAAAAAGGATTATTCACAGTTGCAGCCTCTTACTCCTTTCTGATTAAAGAAAAGGTGAAGGTGCTTGATATTGCACAAGGAATTAGGTCTGTGATGGTGGACTCCTCAGTTAAGGACAGAAGAAGCAGAAAGTGAAGGTGAAAGGAAGAATCAAACACTTTATATGGAAGAAAGGTGTAGATGTGGATGTGATTTGTAAAGTGTGTGGAGAGGCAGAGGAAAGAATAGGACATCTTTTTCTTCACTGTAGTAAAGTTAAGATAGTATGGAAATTGGCTCCAGTTCCTTGGGAAGGAATTAATCTGCAGAACTCTAGTTTCAAAACATGGTGGTGGCAGGTGTGTGCTATCGATAAAACTGAAACCTCTGAAGCTCGAATGCAACTTTCTACATACATCCTATGGTGGCTGTGGAGGTCTCGAAATCTGTGGATATTTAGTGCAGAGAAAATACCAGAAACTGTCATTCTGAGAAGAGCATTGAGAGACTGGGAAGAGTTCATAGTAGTTGTTTAGCAGTGACATAGCAGTGGAACTGATAGCTGCAGATTGGAGGAGTGTTGGTGGATGGGTCTGTTTTCCTGTTTATCTTTTGTATTTTGTGTTCTGTTCTGTTTGTAGGTGTTGGTTAGATTCTTTTCTGGTGGTTTGGGTGTTTTTGTTCTAGATAGCTTCGGTTTTTCTGGAGTAGGAGCTGTTGTCAAGGTACCTCGGGTGGGCTTGTTTGTAGACTACTGTCTGGCATGGGTCTCCCAGTTTATTTCTAATGAAAATAAACCGCTAATTTAAGTTAATAAGAGCATACTAATTGCTACAAACCGAGAATAATAAAGAGAAGTGAAGAAGAATTTGGTGCAGGAAATAAGTTCCAGTTGTGTGCAATGGCCGGTTCCAGTTTTATATCTGTACTAGCCAATGATTTCAAATTACCGATTAACTGGCCGCCCCATAGAAGTGGCAGGTGTACTAACAGTAAAGTGGCAGTGTACTAACAATAAAAAGCAAGACACAATTATAATAATTTTTCATTGTGGATTATTTTTCAGGAGAAACAAATGACACAATACATCACTCCGAATCCCAAGGCGCGTCCCTCTCGAACTCAATGTTGTCGTAGCTGAAAGAAAATCCCCAATCATCGGCCCTCCAATATATGTTGGCGTGTCCTTTATCCCTGGTTGGCTCATATGCTTCGAAATCTGAATGCGCTATGCCATAAACTCCATGTGCTGAATACTCGTTGTTGTTGTTATTGTCCACCTCGACCTCATATACCCAGAGAGGCCTCAGCAAGGCTGAGCCCGTCAAATAGCCGTTTGATCGGACTCGCAGGTTGATGGGAGCCTGACTGCCCACTGCATTGCTGAAGTGGATCACCACTGAGAAGCCCGCCGAAAAATTAGCTAAGAGGACAAGGAAAAGCAAGCATTTGAAGGCCATTTTTTTTTATTTTTACCTACAAGATTCTGTTACCTCTGTTCTTCTCCTTTTGTTCTATATCAAAGGTATTGTTCTGGTTAGGAACCACATGTTTGCACAATAGAGTTCATATTTGTAAGGTGACATTTCTTTTAAGGAAAAATTGTAGAAATGAATATGACGAGATTGACTACCGCGTGTGAGGATTAAATAGAAAATTTTATCCATACTTTATCTAGATTAAGACAAAATCATTAGACTTTGTATTAGGTTATTAATGAGTGCATTCACTTCATTAATAGTAAAAAGGGGGGCAAAGATTGTTATATGGCTGTCAAGCTTGACATGTCAAAAGCTTATGACAGAGTGGAGTGGGGCTTTCTAGGTAGAGTTTGTTCTAAAATGGATTTCTGTGATCAGTTTGTTAATTGGTTGTTGGCTTGTGTTTGCTCATCTACTTTCTCATTCAATGTAGGTGGTCAGTCATCTGGGTTTGTGTCTCCTAGTAGGGGTCTTAGACAAGGTGACCTATTGTCTCCTTACCTTTTTCTTATTGTCACTGAGGCCTTTTCAAATCTGATAGTGCAAGCTAAGCACAATTTCCTCTTCTCTGGTCTTAGAGTTGATAGATTTGCTCTTGTTGTTACTCACCTCTTTTTTGCAGATGATTCCATTCTATTCTGCAAAGCAGATGTTGCTCATGCTCTTACTATTACCAATATCCTTAGTGTTTATAGGGCAGCCTCTGGGCAAAGGGTTAACCTTTCCAAGTCTTCTGTCTTCTTTTCCAAAAACTCTACTCCTGTCACTATTTCTGAAGTCAGTTCCATTCTGCAAGGTATTACCCATGTTAAAACTGCTAAGTATCTGGGTCTCCCTTTGGGAATTGGCAGGTCTAAGAGAGAAACATTCCACTTTGTAAGTGAGGCTGTCAAAAACAGAATCAATAACTGGAAAAACACTTACTTGAGTGAGGCAGGTAGAGAGGTTCTGATCAAGACTGTCATTGGGGCCCTTCCAACTTACATCATGTCCTGTTATAGAATTCCATTTTCCATTTGTGATGAGATGTGCAAGGAAACTGCTAGGTTTTGGTGGGGCAAAAGAGAGAGGGGTAGTAATAGGATTCACTGGGCCAAGTGAGAGAGATTGTCAGTGTCTAAGAGTGAGGGTGGGATGGGTTTTAAAGAGCTGAGAACTTTTAGTGAAGCTCTAATAGTCAAGCAACTTTGGAGGGTTATCACTAAAACCAATCTGTTGATGAGTAGGGTCATTAAGGGTAGGTATTTTGCTAACAAAAAATTGTTTGAGGTTAAGCCTAGGAATGGGGACTCTTGGCTCTGGAAGAGTTGGCTGGCAGCTAGGGATTCTTTAGGGTTGGGGATTAGGTTTGAGATTGGAGATGGTAGGTCTGTGGATATATGGAATTCTCCTTGGATCCCTAATATCAAGAGTTTTAAACCTACTTGTCATTTTCCAGGGGATAGAGGGAGGTTGGGTAAAGTGAGTGATCTTTTATGTGGGGAGGGATTGGGTTGGGATGAGGATCTGGTGAGGCAAACCTTTGACCCTGATACTGCTTTGGAAATTCTGAAAATTCCTAGACATAACCATGGGAGGGTAGATAGGTTAGTTTGGCATTGGGGTTCTTCAGGTAAATTCTCAGTTAAGTCTGTGTATGCTACTATTCAAGCTGAGAAAAGGAAAATCAAGACCAACAGAGGGAGCTGTAGCTATCAGAGTCAACTGAATCAAATGTGGCATTGTACTTGGAAGCTTTCTATAAGCCCTAGAATTAAAAACTTCATTTGGAAAAGCTGGTTTGGGTTTCTGGGAACTAAATGTCAACTCTCTGAGAAAGGTATTATTGCTGATGTCACCTGTGGGATTTGTGGGGAGGCTAGAGAGGACTTAGACCATATTTTCTTTAGGTGTCTTAGGGCTAGGACTTGTTGGCAGCTTCTGGGGGTGTCTTGGGATAGGATAGAGAGGGATAAGATAGGGTTTAATTCTTGGTGGGTAGAGGTTTGTAACATCAGGGATGTTGAAGCCATCATAGATAGAATAAGTTTGTCCACTTATCTTCTATGGTGGCTGTGGAAAACTAGGAATCACTGGGTGTTTGAGAAAAAAAGGTGGAATGAGAGGAAAATAGTAAATTGTGCTATTAATGAGTGGATGGAAGTTAATAACTGTAGGGATATTTGCAGTCAAGTCAGAGTCAGGGTGAGTGAGGAGAGAACTGGTGAGGGGATGAGGGTGGACAGGGATGCTGAGTGGATCATTAATGTGTGTGTGTGGGATTTCAGGGAAGGGCAGAGGGGAATGGGGGGTAGAGTGTGTAGAGATTTCAAAACCGAGCATGTGTGGGCTGTATCTAGGGACTTCTCCGGGAGTTCAGTGGAGGCCAACATTAATGCTGCTCTATGGATTTTGAGGAAAGCTGCAGATCAAGAACTCAAAAATATTACATGCATCCTGCATTGCAAGAAAACAGTGAGCACATTTAACAGATGGAAGCAACAGACTGATATAGAGAGTGATGAGGCTGCTGACTTTCTTCATCTCTGGCCCAAGTTTAATTCTTGTTCTTTTTTCTTTGTTGATTTGGTTTGTAAAGTTAGTTTGGACATGACCATGAAGGTTCTTGAAGGGGTTAATTGCTAATTCCCTGTTGAAGGTTGTTAATTTTGTTGTTTTGTAACAGCTGAATTCTGTACCCAGTTGGGTCCCGGTGTTTGTGCTTGAGTAATATATTTTCTTCCTTTGTCGTTGAAAAAAAAAAAAAAATGTGGACTTTGGTATTGCTCTGCTTTGGTTTGCAGTGAACGGTTGACTCCCCTGTGTTTTATGCATTCATTTGAATGCCCGGGTGTACATTTATTTGTTTTTGAGTTGTTATGAAAGTTCTATTTATCGTTGGAAAAAAAAATAGGAAAAAAAATATTTATTTAATTCACTATAGCGAAATATAAATTTACTTATTTTTCTTACAATTTTACATAATTCACCCGTTTCATAATCTGATGTGACAAAAAATTATGTATGGTTTGGGATGTCCAAATCACAGCCTCGGATATTACATATTTAGATTGGATCACACAGAATTAAGTACATGCAATATCTCTGCAATGTGTCTCGCGCTCCAATCTTTCCTATTTTGAATCAAAATCTCACATAATTGTTTTCCATTTATATCCAGAATTTTTCTTCACCCTAGGCTGCTATACTTGATGTCCGATAACTAGACTTTTAAACGAGTTGAGTCGAGCTCGAGCTTAGGGTACTCGAGCTCGAGGCTCGACTTTATCACAAAGAACGAGCCGATCTCAAGTTTTAACAAGTCGAACTATAGAAAATTATATAAAAATCTTTTTTCGAGCCTTAATGAGACTTATCGAGCCAAGTTGAGCCCATTAACTAAACGAGCTTTAAATGACCTCGAGCTCGAGCTCAAGCTCGACTCGTTCAATTTAACAGCACTTCCGGTAACATAGTTCGATTCGACTTATAAAAGGTCAAACTCGACTCACTTGTATATTTAAACGAACTAAAGTCAAACAACTAATTGAGTTTTTATATCAAACAAGTCGAGTTGAACGTGTTTGCGCGACCGACTCGGTTAGAATTTTGGGTTTTGATCTAGATTTAAAAGTTTATTAAACGAGTCAAACCAAGTTTAGACGATCCGAACTCGGGCTCACATTTCTGTTTGTTTATTAAACGAGTTTAGTCATGTTCATTAAATGTACACGAATTTAAACATGAAGTATTTGACTCGAATACTCTAGCTAGACACATATATTAAAAAAAAGTATGAAAACAATTTTGAAGTATTAATATAAATTACATGAATCACACATTAAAAAATATTAAAATATGAATGTTGTATTTGTAGAATAAAATTCAATTATATGGACCTTCTAAAAAAACTTGTGAATATATTAATTACTCTTTTATACATATAACAAATCATAACTTTAAATTATTTATTAATTTTTAAATGCAATGATATTTTTTATCATATACTTGAATTTTAATTAGAAAATATAATATTTTTATTAAAAGTCCTTCATGAGACATACTAATCGCTTTATTCTTATTGTATGACAAATGGATCGTAGATCATTTCATTGAATATGCCACATAAATAAATGAGACTTGCATTAAATTTTTTATATACTGAAATACCATTTATTTAAAAAACCAGAAAAAAATATAACAAAAAAAAATTATTGTCTCGAATAAATTTATTCAAATAAATTTTATTTAACTAAATAATATAATGTAAACTCAAAAAGAAGACGAAAAACGACGTAATGAACTAAAGGAAAAGCGAGAAGTGACTGAAACATTTTCAAATATATAATTCATTAATTTATTTTAAATAAATATCATTTATTTTGGGCCAAAATAATATTAATTCGTAGCTAGTCTAATTTAACATGGGCTAAAATATTCTATACTAGTACATATTTAAATGTCCCTTAAGACCGGGCTGGAGCCCACCCCAACCTTTGGGGTGGCTCCGGCCCCTGCTTTCTATTTTCTACTTATCCAACGCACCTCATGAATAATCAATATCGCCTTTACTATATATAGGCTGCCGGAGTTAAACATATGAGATCATTGTTGAGCAAATCATGGAAGATTTGCATTTTCTAAATGCATGGTGATATGACAGTTTTGCTATGGAACCATCAGATAGCTCGACATATGGAGCCATCTACACTTATTCACCAATAGTGTATTGACACGTGTGTTGCAATAAATACAATTTGGACAGGTGTCAATACATTAAGTGGTGGATGGCTCCATAAGAAAACCATCGGATGGCTCCATAGAATTTTTGGGTGACATGATATTTCCTACCGCACCTTTGTAAGTCGATGATTTGCGCTATCCCTTCCTTCGAAATAAGAGTTCTGCCTCTTGTTTGGAAAACAAAACAATTTAATAAAAAGGATGAATCGGGAAATTATTAACACCTAATTAATTATTTAAACTAATACTCGACCTTATGCCATATATATAGGAGTACAACTAGATGTAGACCACTCGGTCCAGCCAACCCAACCGGGTCGACGACCGGGTCGTGCGACTTAAACGACCCAAACATACGTCTTAGACGACCCATGTATGTCTCTAAAACGACCCAAAAGTGCGCTTTAAATTACCCAAACATGTGGCAAATATAAGAAACCAACCCAAAACTCTAATAAACGACCCGAGACTAATACGTGACCGGAACACTAATGACCCGACAGCTCATACGCGACTCGAAGCACTAAACGACCTGAGGCTCTATTACGCGACCCAAGGCTCTAATGTGCGACGTAAAAGACATGTGTCATGCTCGACCCAGACGACTCATGTGCTAAAGCTCGACCTAAAGGCTACAACTTGACTCGGACAACCTATAGCTCAACATAAACGACCCCAAAAAGGTTAAAACTACTTATTGACTCAAGTGAGCTAAGTGACCCAAGGGTTGTTAAAACTACCCAAACGACTCAAGACCTAACGGGTAACGATCAAGCAAAAGTGTCAAGATAATCCTAGTCATTTGGATAAGAACATATCTCAGATAATTCATCCGGGAAACCAGCTATCCCTTTCAGGTAGCCCGCCAGGGCAGCACGTTGTACTTTTCAGCAGCCCGTTAAAGCAGCCCATTGTATTACCGGGCAACCTTTTCTTGTGCAGCAAGACAACAATTAGGATAAGATTAAAAGCATGCTTATCTCGTTCTTAAACTTCTTCATTATTATTTGCATCTCCACCTTCCTCTAGAACCCTCACAGACTTAAACGTTGGACACCGGGAGAACCTCCCGGCCATTTTACAGGTCAACAACTCTATCATTGACAGCTCCGTCTCCGGCGACCGAGTCACACACCAAGTTCAACTGGGGGTTTTAAGGAGCTCGGTTGGCTTGAACAAGGTTTTATTTGGTGGAGCATCATCAAATTGGCGCCTACCATGGGGTACACCAGTTCCACTGAAAGTTGAGTCAAAGGTTGCATCTTGTGATAGTTAGCATTACACCTCCATCAATGGCAGAACAAAAACCAGTGCAGGGGGTGTCTCGCCAACAAGGATTCACCAAGGACCTCCGTTAATGAGATCCAACGCCTTCAAGCGATGCAACCAAAACATCATTGTAAGATGGATGATTTGGTAAATGGCTTAAGGTGGGAGAAGGCCAATCAGTACCAAATGTCCACCAGGCAAGCCAACCTGGGTTATTGGGGTCTATCCAGCTTTGTTGATGTTCAAGTCCAAGCTCAGTCTGTTGAAGAAGAAGGTACTGGAATACCAAGCAGGTTAATAGGGCTAAGTATGAAGGAGAGAGAAGAGCAAGAACATTATTACAGTCATGGAGGAAGATAGAGAAGATATCAAGTCAGGAGAAGTATCTGCCCAAAGGAAAACTAGAACTTTGGGGGAGATCAGCTCCTACAAAGGGAAGACTCCAAAGATCCTCAAGGAGTAAAGATGAAAAGACAGAGAACCAAGCTTCGAAAAGGAGAAGGCAGAATGAAAGAGGTATTAACCTGAGAAAGGGATATCCTAAATTGAACCCTGAGAGAGGTTGTTGTGACCATTTTTGTTACGTTTTTCGTTACTGTTTTGTCGTTCTTTTCCCCCTGTTTTAGGTCTTTTTGTTAGTTTTGTAGTTTGTTGTGTGTTTTGCTCTATTTTGGCTTTTTATGTGTTTTTCGTATATTTTGTCGGTTTTCTACGTTTTTCTTCTTGTCTTTGGTGTGCAGGTCGGAAGCCCCATGAAGAATGAATTTAGCCCAAAAATCGACCGAGCAATCATGGTTGCGTAGAGGAGTTCCTTAGCTACACATAGGAAAAAGCGTAATCCAATTTCGAGTTCGGACGAATCTGAACGGGGCCGAAACGTAAAGTCCAGCAAACTACCAACCTTTTGAAGGTAAGAAGACCCTAGAGGATTTTATTATGGGAAAAAGTTGAATTTGAAAACATCATTGAATAGAGGGGTTCGTTATCGACGCGTAGGAAAAAACTGAACTCAATTCCGAGTTCGGATGAGCCCAAACGAGCCCGAAACGCCAAGTCGCGCAGCCCAGTCCTCCTTAGCGGTGCTATGAAATCTTAGCGGGGCCAGAGGGTTTGTACTGAAATGCCATAGCGGCCGCTAAGGGGGGTTAGCGGCCGTTAACCCTGCCTGGCAGACAATGTGTGTTCTTTTCCTCAAATTCTGGCCTGTTGGGGATGGTGCTCGAAAGTGGGGATTCTTGGACCAACATTGCACCCCTGATTTCGGTTTTTGGTGCTATAGAACATGCTCCACTTACTCTCTTCCATCTCTCCATATATTCTACATCTTCTATGTTCATCTTCATCTCTCATCCTTGAACCACCCAATGGGGTTCTCCCCCCTCTTCTCTTTCTCCATTTCTCCCTCTCATTCTTCATCTCCTCTATTCACTTTTCTTTAGTTTTTCTTAAGCTTTCATTAGTTCTTCAAGTGTGGAGAAGAACATTTTCAAGACTTGGACATTGTGGATTGCATTGTACTTGCATTTGACATTGAATTGCACATTATTAGTAAGTTTTCTTCTTTTTCATTGTGTTCATAATGTTGAGAATGACTTGTTTTCATGTGAATTCTTGTGTTCAAATTGCAATGTGTGGCTAATCCTTTAGCTAGGGGTTAGGGGCTAGTCGTTCCGGTTCGTTCCCGTTTACATGCATGATGATAACTCAATCTTGACTAGTTGTTTTAATTATGAATTGATAAAATCATAATTGATAAATTGTTATAACCTAAGAGTGACACTTAGGTTAATTTGTTGATATAATCGAAGAACTAGTGACACTTCAATTTGTGATTAAATATTGATTTGTTGAGTTAGAGTTTGTTAATTCTATATGATTAGTCGATTAAACACCTTCTAATCGAATTAGCGACTTTTAGAACCGAAAGGGAGGAGTCGTAGAGATAGTCGAATTCAAAATCGAGAGGGGAGAAATTGGTGGAATTTGGCTCGTTTAGAGTAGACATGTTCGGAGACGTATTGTCTATGTGTTAATTGTTTCGTTAATTTGCTCGTTTATGTTTATCCTCATATTACGAGAGTTAGTGAGGTTAAAGCGCTAAATGAGTTATTTAGTCGAACCATTTAACCGAGTTATTGATTGCCGTTAAATGTGTGTAGAACCGGAAGCGATTATTCCCGATAACCTAGCTCGTTTATATTTTTATCGTTTATATTTTTAGGTAGATTATCGTCTTTTGTTATTTCGTAGTTGATAATTTTCCAACCCTATCGTGATTAGAATGTGTAGGATTTATTTTGATTTTATATGTTATTGATACCACTTCTAAATTCCGAACCGCCTTCCTCGAGAGATCGACCCAGGAAATGAATCATTCGATTCGGTACTCGGTAAAATAAAAATAATTTGTGCTACAACAGAGGTAAGAAGCTGAAACTAAGCAAGGAAGAGGTGGGGTTGGCCAACTTTAAGTGGCTAACAAGTTATCAATGAGAGTACTAGTGTGGAACTATAGAAGTTTGGATGGACCCTCTATCGTTCCCCAGCTCAAGGAGTCCATAAGGACCCATCACCTTTGCTTTATTTTTCTTTTTGAAACAAAATAAAAAAAATAAAGATTGTTAAGATTTTTTGCTTAAAATGGGTTTTTAGGATATAGAGAGAGTTGTTAATCCCCAAGGCTTGAGTGGGGGTTTGTTACTGTTGTTATGGGATAAGGATGTAGAAGTTTCTCAAATATGTGTCATAATTTTGTATGGAGGTGGAATTTACTACTGAGAGGGTTTTAGCTCTTCTTGGTTGATCTGGGGTTTTAGCTCTTCTTGGTTGATCTGGTGTATATGAGCTCAGTTAGAGAATTAGAGAGGAGCAGTGTGGTGTGCTGCAAGAGGTTAAGAGAAATTGGGGAAGCTATTAGATGTGTGCAGGAGATTGGAATGATATTTGCAATATGGAGGAAAAAAAGGTAGAAGATTCAGACATGTAAATAGTGTTTTGGGCTTCAACTCTTTTATTACGGAGATGGGTATGCATGAAGTCAGTTAGCAAGGCTACCAATTTACCTGGGCTAATAATAGGGAGCGTGAGAGATTTGTAGATGAGAAGTTGGACAGAGCTTTCTATTCCCTAGATCTTGAAAAACTCATCAGACCATAATATGTTAATTATATAATTGAAATATGGTTAGCAAATGAGGGAGTGAAAGAGGTAGCTCAAGATGCTTTGCTGGAGCATGTTTTTTAGTTTTTAGCCGAGTACGATCAACATATCTACCTCGGGTCGTCTTCTTCTCAAGGTAGGTGATTTGGAGCTTCGATTACTAACTAGATGTCAAAAGCATAAAAATATAAAAAAAAAAAAAAAAAAGTCCTAGACATTCTAAATAAGATGGATTGGGTTGATTTGAACTAAAATTAACTAAGAATTGAAAAGCAATTAACTAAAAGCGCAAGCTTTAACTAAAGCTGCCAACTTTGCTAACACGGAATCTCCTCAACTCGTGAAAAATGAAAATAAGACAAAGAGAAACATTCAAACACTAAGATCCTAGGAAATTAAAATGAGCCTTCTCCATAAATGATCAAACTTTCAACAGTCTCAATCTTTAACAAAAGATAAGCACGTATTTAACTCCTAAACGCACGTAGACATGCTAAAAATATCCAAATTCACCTAAAACCGAGCCTGAACACATAATTCTAGCCAAGACACCGAATTCACGTTGAACAACTTCATAAGCGAAAAGGACCAAAAACCGAAGTAATAAGTCCTAAGAAAGGTACTTACTCTTCTTTTGGTAGCTCAGATGAAATTAATGCAAGAATATAGAAGCTTTAATAAAAAATGGCATCGCCTGAAAACACGAGTTCGAGCTCCAAACATAATAATAGAGAGAAAACAACAAAAAAGAGCAATTCCTAAAGTGAAAACTGAACAAATGAGGTCCACCACCATCTTCACCCTTGTCAAAATATATCTTTTCCCAATCGCTTCTCGGTGGTGCCTGGAGTTTCTTTATCCGATCATCATCATTTCCACGATGCACCTCTCATCCTTAAATTTCCAAGAGCCAAAACTCGAATGTTTCTTTAAATTTAACGGTGCACCTCTCGATTTTGCACTATCACCCTTCGAATTCATCTTGGACTTCTTCTTGTCTGGTTGCTTCGACTCCTTCTCTGATCACAAGCATCCTCTTTCGATTTCAAATCCTCCTTCACTTCATATTCCTCCTTTCCATTCTTTCTCAACTCCAATATCTTCTTCTCCTCAAAGGGACGGTTGCATTTATGACTGGTAGAATGAAAAATGGATTGTACCTCTCTACCAATAACATGTAGGAATGAGCATTGGTTAGATTTGGATGGAGCTTCCCGGGCATTGTCAATTGAAAATGTGACCATCTCTCCAAGAGCCGAGAGGGCAAAATACAAAAGTTTATTTATTAAAACATAGTATATTTTTATAAAATAAAATTATTTTAGTGCTATCATAAATAAGAAAATACATATACATATAGGATGTGGTTCAAATGAGAACCAAGTCTTGGCGTGAGAATCGTGAAAACCGCTATTTTTAATTGTACATAGTGTTATGATTGATTGTGTTTTGGTGTTATTTTTAACATAGATGTATTTGATTAAAAATAGCAACAAAATATATATTAGGATTTGTGAAAATGATAGCACCATGTGATATTAAAAATAGCATCATACACAATTAAAAATAGTAGCAAATATGGTTCACACGATTCTCACACCAGGACTAGTTTTTATTTGAACCAGTCCCTATATATATATATGTGTATGTATTCGTGTTTTGTTCCTTCTACATACCAAATACATCCATGAAAATACTTGTATAATTTATTTTCCTTAATTATTTTATTATTCGACTCATTCTATTCCTATAAAATTTAATCCCATTATACTTATTATGCAATAATTATTTTAAGCTCAATTTTATAAGAATAAAATTCACATATGTGTTTCTATGCCAAAAACTTACCCATGCATAATATTATATTGAAGAAGAAAAATAGGATAGGCATATGGTGACATTAGGTTGTTTGGCTCTACATATAACTGATAGAACAACAAACCGTAATTCTCGCCAATTGCATGTCCAGGCGTCTTCATTTGAGAATAGAACCTATTTAGGTGGTATTTACGACCCAACATAAGTACAAGAATTTCTACCTAGATGCTCATGAGCATGTCATTTTGGTATTCAAGTACAAACAAAGTCTTCATTCAACCCCATGAAACTGGCTCTCCCTCAGTTTCATTTATATATACACCCTCAAGAAACCCTAGTTTACATCCAAGAGAGCTTGAATAATCAAGTCATGGCTCGTTTTCCTTTTGCTTGCTTCATAATATTGATGCTTTTTCTAGTTTTGACGGGAACTTCTTTCGGCCAGCGCCCTAGGCCAAGGCCCCCACCACCTCCGAGTCCATTTAT